TTTTCCCCCCCCCCCCCCCCCCCTATTTTTTTCATTTGGTAAGAGAATTCTAAGGGTGTGGGTGGTTAATTAAAATATCTTGAAAGCAAGGAATGAGAGAATAAAAAGCAAAACAAAAAATAGGGGGGAAAAAGCAAATACCTTTCTTGGTTTATGAGATGTGTCACATTATCAATGTAATGATCAACTTCATATTATATAGATATGAATATACGTATATGATTTCGTAAATTCACTTGTGGATTTTATGACCGCGCGAAGCGCGAATAAATTCACTAGTTATATATATAAAAAAGAGAAAAATATCAGTTAAATGTATCCAATGTTTTCAATGCCTAAAGGACTTTTGCTACCGCGTGAAAATCCACTAAGTTCATGTGGAAATATTTTCGTTCATTTGGAATTTTTCATGGTTTTATTTGTTCCAAGGATAAGGAAGGAATTAAATGACAAAGATGTAAAGATAAAAAGCACCCTAATTACCTATCAATCTCTTTGTTGTCCAACTCAAAAACTGTAACGATTCGATCGGTCGTTTTGCCTTCTAGATTTCCGTTCTCCCAAATAAGACTCCTCATATGTGCTTTTACTATTTTATGACTTGCGGGTATAGTTAGTTCGGGGCTTGGAAGGGTTCGGGTTGAAATCAGAACACTTGGTTCCTTAATTTGGCTTTAAAAGGCTAAGTTTGACTTGGGTCAACATTTTAAGTAAACGACCTCGGAACTGGGATTTAAAGGTTCCAATAGGTTCGTATGATGATTTTGAATTTCGGCGTATGTTCGGATCGGGTTCTGGATGAACCGGGAGCGTTTCGGCGCTTAATATTCATAGTTGGCACCTTGAAGATTTTAAAGTTCTTTAAATTTGATTTGGAGTAGGTTTTGGCGTTATTGAGGTCCGTTTGGGATTCTGACATGGGAATAGTTTTGTATGGTAACTTGAAACTTGCACGCAAATTTTGGTGTCATTCCGAGTAGTTTAAGTATGTTTCGGCACGTTCGGAGTAAGTTGGAAGAACTTAAAGTTCATAAGTTAATTTAATTTGGTTTGGGGTGTGATTCTTAGTTTTGATGTTATTTTATGCATTTCGAGGGTTCGATCGAGTTTGTTTTATGATTTCAAAGTTGTTGGTATATTTGGACGGGGCCCCAGGGGCTCCGGGTGCTAATCACACGATGCGCGAAACTCA